GCGGGGATGCGAACCTGCCCGCGCTGCCGAGCCGTGCCCGGCGCTGGCCTCCCGGCGCCTCGCTCGCTTCTCGGCCTAGAATCGCGGCTCCGTAGCCTCTGCAGCACTTAGAGACTCTTGCCTTTTGCAAACCACTCTTCCTTTCCTCGTTTCCGCCTGGGGAAAATGGGCGTAACTGCTAATGTCTTCAAAGAGCCTTCCTGAAGATTAGAACCTCTGTATGCATAAGAAAGCACCCATTAAACCCCCGGGAGGCCCGGTCTAAGCCCTCGAGGTCTTATGTCCTGGCACCGAGATTCTTAACCTCTTCCCATTTGCAACCCCTTTGACATGCTGATGGCAGCTGTGGCACTTTCCCCAGAGAAATGCGCCTACATACAAAATGTTAAGTACTTTCCAGGGAGATTCTCCTTTCTCGACATCGCTGAAATGGAGTAAACATACGATCATACATAGTTTCAGGTAAACAGCACTCTTAATGCAACATTGATGTATCCGAGCAAGTGAGGGATCACCCCGAAAGGTCCTGCAACAGTCTTACACCCCACGACGCTGTTACAATGTTACCGACTGTATTCTTCATGCTGTCGGTTACATGCCCATGACCTACTTCTTTTATATTTGCAAATTTGAAACTCTTATTCCCCTTCACCTTCCCTCCATATTTTTTTTATTTTTTTCAGTTACACTTAACATTCGATATCACGTTGGATTAGTTTCAGGTGTACAGCAAAATGGTTAGACATTTGTATAAATTCACGAAGTCACCCCACCCCCCCCACCAGTCTAGTCCCCATCTGGCACTATGCACGGTTAGCACAATATGACTGACCACATCTCTATGCTTTACTTTATGTCCCCGTGACTACTTCCTTTCTCACCCGCCACCCTCCTCTCATCTGGCAACCGTCGCCTTCTTCCCTGCGTCTATGACTCTGTTTCTCTTTTGTTCTTTAGATTCTACAAATGAGTGAGATCATATGGTTTTTGTCCTTCTCTGTCTGTCTTATTTCATTTCTCATTAGACCGTCCGGGCCCACCCGTTTGTCGCAAATTGTAAGATCTCATGCCCTTTAAGGCCCGAATAATATTCCATTGTACATATGTACCACCTCTTCTTTATCCAATTGTCTATTGATGGGCACTTAGGCAACTTCCATACCTTCGCTATTGCAAATAACGCTGCAATGTATCTTTTCAAATTAGTGTTTTGGATTTCTTCGCATGAATATTCATATGTAGAACTTCTGGGTCATAAGGTAGATCTATTTTTAATTTTTTGAGGAAACCCCAAACTGTTTTCCAGAGCTGCTGCACCCATTTTCGATCCCCTTAACACTGCACGAGGGCTCCCTATTCTCCGCATCCTCACCAACACTTGTGGTTTCTTGATTTATTGATGATAGCCATTCTGACAGGTGCGAGGTGATATCTCATTGTAGTTTTAATTTACATTTCCCTGATGATTAGAGACCTTGAGCATCTTTTCATATATCTAATGGCCATCTGTACGTCCTCTTTGGAAAAATGTCTATTCATGTTCTCTGCCCATTTTTTAACTGGATTGTTATTTTTTTCGTGTTAAGTTGCACGAGTTCTTTATAAATCTCGGATATTAACCCCTTATCAGATGTCATTGGGGAATATCTTCTCGCAATTCGCAATTCGTAGGGTGTCTTTTCGTTTTGTTGATGGTTACTTTTGTTGTGCAAAACCCGTTTAGTTTTATGTAGTCCCATTTATTTATTTTTCTTTTTGTTTCCCTCCCCCGAAGCTAATATTTTGTTCAAGATTTTCCCATCCGTGTTTATCATGGATGTAGGCCTCCAATTTTTTTTTTTTTTGATAATGTCTTTTTTTGGCTTTGGAATCAGCGTAAATTTGACCTTGTAAAATGAGCTTGGGAACCTCCCCTCTTCTGAATTTTTTGGAATAGCTTGAGAAGGCTAGATGTGAATTCTTCTTTAAATGTTTGGTAAAATTCACCTGTGAAGTCATCCAGTCCACGACTTTTCTTTGTGGGGAGTGTTTCGATTAATGGTTCGATTTCATTAGTTCTATCGGCCTGTTAACTTTTTCTGTTTCTTCTTGACTCAGCTTTTGAAGATTGTATGTTTCTAGGAGTTTATCCATTTCTTCCAGATTGTTGCCTTTGTCGGCATAGAAGTATTCGTGGTATTTGCTTATAATCTTTTACTTTATTTTATTTTTTGTGGTATCACTTGTCACTTCTTCTCTTTCATTTATTTATTTATTTATTTTGGTCCTCTCTCTTTTTTTCTTGATGAGTGTAGTAAAGGTTTATCGATTTTCTTTTTATCTTTTCAAAGAACCAGCTCTTGGTTTCATAGATCTTTATTTTTTTCAGACTCTGTTTCATTTATTTCTACTCTGATCTTTATGATTTCCTTCTTTCTACTTACTTTGGGCTTTGTTTGCCATTCATATTCTAGTTCCTTTAGGTGTAGGGTTAGATCATTAGATTGAGATTTTTCTCATTTCTTCAGGTAGACTTGTCTTGCTATGAATTTCCATTTTGGGACAGCTTTCACTGTGTCCCATATATTTTGGGTTGCGTCTTCACTTTCATTTGTCTCTAGGTATCTTTTGATTTCTTCCTTGGTCTCATGAATAATCCATTCATTGTTTAGTAGCATATTATTTAGCCTCCACGTGTTTGTGTATTTTCCAGTTTTTTTTCTTGTAGTTGATATCTAGTGTCATACCACTGTGGTCAGAGAAGATGCTTGGCATGATTTCAGTCTTCTTAAATTTCTTGAGATTCGTTTCGTGGCCTAACGTGTGGTCTGTCTTGGAAATTGTTCCATGCGCACTTGAGAAAAAAATGCATGTTCTGCTGCTTTGGGGTGAAATGCTCTAAAATATCAATTAAATCTACCTGATCTGATCTGTCATTTACGGCTGCTGTTTCCTTGTTGACTTTCTGTCTGGAAGGTTTATCCCTTGATGTCGGTTAATATTTGTTTTATGTATTTAGGTGCTCCTTTGTTAGGTGCATAAATGTTTACAAGGGTTATGTCCTCTCGTTGGATTGATCTCTCTATCATTCTGACATGTCTTTCATTGTCTCTTATTATAGCCTTTGTTATAAAATCTATCTTGTCTTATATAAGTATCGTTACCCCACACCGAGACACATCATAACTAAACTGCCAAAGGTTAAAGACCAATAGAGAATCTTAAAAGCAGCAAGAAAAAGGCAGTTACTTACAAGGGAGCTACCATAAGACTGTCAGCTAATTCCTAGGCAGAAACTTTGCAGGCCAGGAGGGACTGGCATGAAATATTCAAAGTGAGGAAAAGCGAGGAACTACAACCAAGACGACTCTATACGATAAGGCTATCATTTAAAATTGAAGGACAGATAAAGAGATTCCAAGACAAGAAAAAGCTAAAGGAGTTCATCGACACCAAACCTGTATTACAGGAAACGTTAAAAGGATTTCTCTAAGAAGAAGGGAGGAAGAACGTAAATGTGAATAATAAAATGGCAATAACTATGTATCTATCAATAATCACTTTAAAAACGTAAATGGATTAAATGCTCCGATCAAAAGACATAGGATGGCTGAATAGATAAGAAAACAAAACTTATACGTATGCTGCCTACAAGAGACTCACTTTAAATTGGAAAACACATGGACTGAAATGAAAGTAAAGGGATGAGAAAAGATATTTCATGCAAAAAAAAAAATCTCAGGCCAACAATGGCTGCAGCCGCAAATAGGCCTGTGGTCTGGTACGGCGCGTGTGCTAGGTGGGGCGGGGCCTCAGAGTCACTGGGCGGAGCGAGCAGTGCTCGCCGGGCCAATGGAAATTAAGATTTGGCCGTATGGGGGCGGGCTCAACACAGGCAACATGTTGCCTGGCCGCGCTGCGTGGTCAGCACTGGACGCTGGCTTCTGCCCTCCACCCCTCACCCTGAAGACGCACAGCTTGGCCTCTCCCTGTGTGTCTGGAGCCTCCTGAGTCACCAGGCCTCCGCCAGAGTCCAGGGCGAGTGCCCACCAGTAAGTCTGCGCGTGGACCCTTTAAAAGGACGCCTGGGTTCCCGCCACCCTCCATCTTGCCCAGAGGGACGGAGTCCCTGCTGGTTCTCAGGGCCAGATGTCATGGGGGCTGCCTTCCCAGCACTGGTGCCCCAGGCTGGGGAGCCCAGTGTGAGGCTGGGATCCCTCTCTCTTCGGAGGGGGGGTTACCTCTGCAGCAGAGATAGCCCTCCTGATTCTCGCCCGCCATACATGGGTGGGGGGCCAGCTTGTTTCACGTCTCTACCCCTCCTACCAGTCTGGAGGTGGCTTCTTTACATCTTTCGTTTTAGGACTTCTGTTCGGATAGTCTTCGGATGGTTCTCCAGGTTGATCATTCCATATTTTAGTTATAATTTTAATGCGGTCACAGGAGGGGGCGAGCACAGCCTCTGCCTACTCCTCCATCTTGAGCGGAATTCTTTCCAGGGAGATTCTTAGATCCCCTGGATGGTCTCGATGCATTCCCTGAGTGTCAGTGAATTCCAGGTTAAGAACGCTTGCTCCAGCGAAAGAGGCACCTAGTAAGTTTCACATGCTTTTCGCGTGTTCTCTCCTCTAATCTGCACGCATCGCATGAGTTAGGGATTTCTATCTTCATTTCTTTTCTATCTTCAGAACTGAGGCGAGGATTTTTTTTCTTGACTCTCGAACTAATATTCTTTCGAGGCCGGTACTTTCGAGGAAAGACACAGTGCTATAATAAAAGTAATAAATAACAATAAAGAAAAATAATAAACCCAGCAAATAACAAATAGCAATAACGAAATGCTACTGAATCACAATGGGGAGACAAATTACTTCTGATTGAGGAGAGGAAACATTCTGCTCGAAGGAGGTAATGTTTGAGCTAACCCCGAGGAATTTTAAGCCACGGAAAGTTAGGGTGGGTTAGAACATGAGCACAGTGCCTGGCACATATCGAAGGCTCGATAAATGTTTGCTGAAGAAACGATGTTTGTAAAATGTCTCCAATCAAATGTGTTTTAGGAAAGATGAGTCTGGCAACAGAATGAAGAATCGATTAGAGAGAAGGGGGCCTATAGAAAGCGAGACCGGCTCACGGGTCGCAGTGAGAATCAGAACGAGAGGGAATGAAAGGCTGATTTAGCACAGTGGCTGTGGTCATGGAAAAGAGGACACGGCTGGAGAAACACCACAGAAATAGAGCTGATTGGATTCTCGCGGTGAGAAAGAGGCAGGAATTGGAGATGACTTGGAGTTTTCAAATCTGGGGGACTTAAAGAGTGATACCATTAACCGAGATGGGAGCGGAGGAAGGCGGGCAGATGCGGGGGAAGATGAGCAGTCTGAAGCGAATATCGCTGTTCCTCCATTTCTAGAATCTACTTCTAAGTCAGACCTCATCACTAGCCTCAACGGGGACCCAGCGCGGGTGGGAGCTAAGGGTGGACATTCTGGTTTGGATTAGGTCAGAGGAAGGAAAGCTACATACGTACCCGCAGGAGTCGACACTGTATTTTCCATCCGGCCAAGACAGTGGAGCTTTGACCTCTGTCTTTCAGGGAGACTGAGCCAGGGAAGGAGCAAAGCATAGGATGGGAAAGAGATTCAGACCCTTCACAATATAGGAGACAATGACTTTGATGACAAGGTGGTTGGGAATGATGGCGGTGGTGGCGGCGGCGGTGGGAAGCAGATCTTTTCCAAGACCTAGGCGGCCCAAGGATTCTTGCGTCTGCGACAGTGTCGTGTACCCAGCCTACTTAACAGCAGCTCACAGAGGGGCGGTGTGACACCTACACGTTAGATTAACACGTAATCTCCCAGAAGACCTAGCCCATGTCGCAGCGCACATTTGCCACACCCTCCGTAAAGCCCTGGTTTCTAAGGTTCTTTCCACCGGAAGCTATGACAGAAGGAAATGTGTGGGTGGGGAGGGGTAGTGGGTAAGGGGCCAAGGTTCCTGACACAGTACGTTCAGAGAACGAATCGCGAGCGCCATGTTGAAGTCACCATCGCCACTCAGATCCCTCTTACTCCTGCAGCTGCCTCTGCTGGGGGTGGGGCTGACCACAATGGTCCTCGCGCCCAGTGGGAATGAAGACATCACAGCTGGTGGGGAACCTGGGACTGGAGGGGGTTGGCGAGAAGGGAGGCCGTGGGAGATCTGGACCGTGCCACTGGACGAGACGAGGATGTGGGCAGAATGTGAGAGGACCACGCTGCCGCTGCTTCTGACCATCATTTCTTCTCTTCTCCTCCCGCGCTTCACTTTCTCCCCAACCTAGATGCCTTCCCGACCTCTCCACCCGCCGGGGCCATCGGCGTGAGCACCGTGCCCCTCCCAGAGGTTCAGTGTTTTGTGTTCAATGTCGAGTACATGAACTGCACTTGGAACAGCAGCTCGGAGCTCCAGCCCACCAACCTGACTCTGCACTATTGGTAAGAGAAGGGAGGAAGGGGAAGTGTGCTGGATGTGACAGGCTGCATGGGGGCCAGGGAAGAGGGCAGCCGGCATCCCGGGCTCCCCGCTGTTTTCGCACGGGGTAAATCCTAAGTCAGTTCAGAGGAGGTGAGGCTGGGCCGTGGGTGTCTGCGGTGCTGGAGTTTCCCGCCCCCCAACCATTCCTCTTCTTTCCGTCCCTCCTCCAGGTACGAGAACTTGGATCATGACAAAATCAAGGAGTGTGGCCACTACCTATTCTCCTCGGAGATCACTTCCGGCTGTTGGTTGCAAAAAGAGGAGATCCGTCTATACCATACATTTGTTGTCCAGCTCCAGGACCCGCAGGAACCTAGGAGGCACACCGTGCAGAAGTTAAAGCTGCAGGATCTGGGTAATTTGGGAAGGGGCTCAAGAGTCCAGGGGTACCGTGGGCCGCTGGGGCATACGGAGCCGTGTTTTGAAGCACGAGGGTGCTCGAGCACGAAGGAGGAGGTGAGAGGTCAAGATGGGAAAGGAGGAGGGATCGGGAGCACCGCCTTCGGGAGCCAGACTTGTCTACGCCGGGGAATGACCACACATGTCCACGTCTCTCCAGTGATCCCCTGGGCTCCCGAGAACCTAACCGTTCACAAACTGAGCGAATCCCAGCTAGAACTGAACTGGAACAACACGTACTTGGACAAATGCTTGGAGCACCTGGTGCAATACCGCAGCGACCGAGACCGCAGCTGGACTGTGAGTGGCTGGGGAATGAACACAGCCGCTAAGGCCAACGCGAGTGTGGATGAAGGACTCGATCAGCCGGGTGGGAGGGCCCCGGGCCCGGGCTCCTGCTCCCTTGCCCCCCCAGTTTCTCTGCCCACCCTCCACTCACTCCCACCCCCTTCGCGATCATCACTACGGAGTTTTCATTAGGGGCTCCCTACCCGTACTCTTCCCAACACCGGACAGACAAGCAAACAGAAGGAAGCCTTTAAGGGGATGTGGGGAGAGGCGCTAGATTCTAGGGGGTGAAGCAGTTTGAATTCTCCCTTCTTTTATAGACAGCCATCTTTCCCTCACCGTCTTTCTCCCCAAGGAACAATCCGTGGAGCACAGACAGAGCTTCTCCCTGCCCAGTGTGGACGCACAGAAATTCTACACGTTCCGTGTTCGGAGCCGCCATAACCCGCTCTGTGGTAGCGCCCAGCAATGGAGTGAATGGAGCCGCCCAGTGCACTGGGGCAGCCGCGCTTCAAAGGGTAAACTGGGCCTAGCGCCTCCCTGCGACCCGCGGGCCCAGCACCACTGTCTTACTCTGCCTCCCTAGCCCTTAGCGCCCTCACCTGCTGGCCCGTCTCCCCTCGTTCAACCCCAAGCCCCGGGAAGCAGAGTTTTCCTGTGCGCTGTTGGCTCCATGTGTTCTTAGGGTCCGGGGTGGATTGGGAGGGGGCCCGGGAGTGCTCCACAGTTGCTGCTCGTCTGATTTCAGGCACATCACTGACCTCTTGGGTTGCGTTTCCTCATCTATAAAATGGACGTACTACTTGGTCCCCCCTCTCGGGAGTCGTGAGGGTTAAAAGCGAACAGAAAGCGTTTAGCACAGTGCCCGGCACCAGGTCGGGGCTTAGTGATGTTGGCACGTCGTAGGGGCGTGACACATGTCGGGGCTCCTCTCCTTTCCCCTCCTCCTAGAGAACCCCTTGCTGTTTGCACTGAAGGCCATGCTCATCCCCCTTGGCTCCATGGGACTGATCGTCAGCCTCATCTGTGTGTACTGCTGGCTGGAACGGTGAGGCTTCCGGAACCTCGGGAATGTGAGGTGGGCGTGGCTGGGAACAGCAGAGGAGGCCGATCGTGGGGTCTGCAGAAGCACAGGGCAGGGCGCTAAGGAATGAGGGGCCGCTCCGCTGGGCCTGATGATGGGAGGACACCCGGCAGGCCACCAGCAGCTCCCAGAACGCAGAAGCTCTTCATTCCGTATGGGCAGACTTGGGCCGATGGTAAGAAAAGGGGCTCACCAGCGTGCTCCTGCTCCCTGTCCCCCTCCCCAGGACGATGCCCCGAATTCCTACCCTCAAGAACCTGGAGGATCTGGTTACCGAATACCAGGGGAACTTTTTGGTGAGAACATGGCCAGAGGGAGACTGCAGCCTGTCAGCAGGACAGACAGAGCACGAGGGTGGTGGGAGGGGGAGGGGGCTGCACTAACCGGCAGGATGTGGCCGACCAGTTGGGGGATGGGCCGGACAGAGAGGCACACAGAAGAACTGATTACAGATTGGGTGAAGCACATGGAAAGA